TGTTTGTAGAGTGCTGAATCGTATTCTTTTGGTACACTTGAGCTTTCCCGTTCTCCCGATGTTTTTAACTATCCTAGTGCTTTCCTGCACTTCAGTTTGGAAAAAAGCTTTTTTAAATGTATCGGTTACCCTAGAGATGTGTATTCAAATTACTTAACTTTCGGTCGTCTGGGTTTTTGTAACTTAGATATTTTATTGTGGTAAGTTATACAAATTCTTTCGTGCTCTTTACGGGTGTGATCTTTCAAATTTTATTTTACGTCTTTTTCATGTACCCAGGGCACAGATTCCTTATCTCCTTTGTTCCTTCTAATGCTGCGAGAAGCAATGTTTTTTGCTTTCCTGTTTCTGAGAAAATTAAGAGTCCAGTTTTGAGCGAGTGGTTTTTTAAGCTTTCAAGATTTATTTATAAAAAAATATGTAAGTAAACAGCGCAGTTAAGTATAGCAGTAACTGTTTTTATTACCCTTTCGTAATGCGTTTTTTTTTTTGCTGGATCTGAAAACTGTACACTTAGAGAGGTTTTGAAAAAATGGACTAATTCGTTTTTTAGTATCTTATAAGGGCGTCACTCTGCAGAGTGTTAATTTGAAGGTATGAAAGTTTATAAATTTGATTTTTCTCGTTTTACTTTACCAAGAAAAGAACGGCTTTTTTCAAAGCATTTAACAGGTAGTCCTAGACGCGCTTTTCTGTGAAAATTTGGTAATATTTAAGACATCGGGGGTCAAGATCTTCACGACGTTTTGGGCCCCCTCTATTCAGTCATATGTATCTAATCAGATATTGTCTGAGTTACAGAGGCGTGTTAAGTTTTCTGCTCCATTCAAAGGACACAACTAATTGACTCATATAGGCATAAGAGTCGTCGTCTAAACAGTTTTCGTTATTCCAGTTACGTGCTGAGTTATATGCCGAGTTTTTAGTCTTTGTCTATCTGTCCTGTCATTGATTCGTGGTTATGCGACTTTCTCCTCAAAATAAGGAGCTTCTTGTTATGAGCTTCACCGCAAAATTTTTGTTGCAGTCAAGAGATTTTGAATAAGGATGTTTACTTGAGTCATTGGTTCCCTTTTGTGTTCTTTTCCTTATTCATGTTTTTCAGCAGCAGTTCAAAAGGAAAGCTGATTGTGCCGTGTGTGACTTTTTGGAAGAAAAGAAGCCAGCACTAAGGTAATTTTTCATCGCTTCCTTTTCTGCATTAGGGGCTGTCAGCAAAGTTCCTTGTGGGTTGGTTTTATCGAGCAAGAGGCGTTTTTGCACAACACTGGCAAAAAAAGTAGTTAAATGAGGACATATGTTTCCAGCTGTTGAAAAGCTTTGGAAGTTTAAAGCCTGAGTTTTTCAAATTAGGTTCTCATCAGAAGCTGATAGAAAAAGTTTTTTGAAGTACTAACGGGGTGAATATTTGGTCGCTTTGACATGGGACCATTTCAGGTTACTAATCTAAACATTGCCTTTGTTTAGCATTTGTTTATGTCGCATTGTTGGTGTTATATTTCATTTAAGCAAGAAATTTGTGTAGAGTCATAGATATAACTTTTTGATAAAGTTTAGTTTCCGCTGCTTTGTGGGGCGGAGTTCTGCAGAACTGTCCTATGCTAATCTAGTTTTTATCACCTCTAGCCTGAAAGATGTGCATCCTTAGTGCTACTTTATTTTCTTTTTTTCCGGCATTGTTTCTGTCTTCATCACTATTTTACCTTGCTCTACTTTATGCTTCTTAACGAATGATTACTTACTTTCCATCCATGTATTTCAAGCTTTCGCGAATTGGGCGCTAGCTTAATTGTTAGTTCTATATTCACTTAAATTTATTTGCTGGCTACTTAGTCTAGTTATTCAAGAGAGTTTTTTTGATTTTTAAACTCATGTGGAGTAATTGCTATATTAGACTTTTGCGTTTTGCGTAGTTAAGATGTTGCCCTTTTGTATTAGTTCGTCGTAAGGCTTTGAATTAATAAAAACGATTTGTATTTTAAACGGCTTGTTCAAGCGAAGGCTCTTGACAGACTTTGACAAACAGCGTTTTATACTCGTGTCTGCTTGCCCTATTAGATATTGATATGTATTAGTAGGTGGTACTGATTTACCCGCCAGTGAGAGTTCATTGCATTTTATATGCTGATAAAATTTTTTCAGCCACTTCCAACGCTATTTTTGTAGTTAATATTTGGGCGCATTATCAGCTGAAATTCTTGTTACTCATCGAGATAACATAGCTTTTATGTTTTTTAGCTGTTTCTCTCAGTCTTGTAATTTTCCTTTTTCATTTTTACAAGACTGGCTTACAGTAGAATCCGCTTTCTCGAAATGTTTCATTTTTTTTCGTTTTTCATTTGTGTGTGATTGGGATAATTGTTGTTGAAAAGAATGTTTTGTCTGAATAACTCATTATTTCATTTCCTGAAAAAAATTTTACTCGCTTTTTCTTAGGCTTTTGCGACCAATTTTTATGTGCTATACTTCCAGGAGTGATCTGCACATGGAAACAGAGGCTGATCATTCTGACTCTGTACAGCCCTCTCATTCTAACGATGGTAGCTTAAGGAATAAGCTACCTGACTGTGAAAGATTACTTCTTTCACTAAAGTCTTCATCAAATTCTTGCCCCTCGAATGGTTTATATGGTTTATATTCTTGTCATAATGCACTAAGTAAGTTTGAAGGAAGACATCGTTGCGATTATGCCAAAGAGTTGAAAACGCCAAAAAACCCTAATGACATTACTACATGGGTCAATCAATTCAAGGTAAGTGTTTTTTATCAGTTCTTTTTTTAAGTTAATCTTTAGTTTTGAAGGTTTATTGGTTTTAGCGTATGCCACCCGCTCTCCAGCTTGACGCCTTGTCGAAACTACTGGGTGAATGCTCATTGGCACATATAAGACATTTGCAAGAGGCCATTGAGCCGCTTTTTCAACGCGATTTTATACGCGATCTTCCGGCAGAGGTCTTTTTTGAAAGTTTACTTAATGTTTATTTGCTTCTTGTATTAGATAATGGTGCGGAATATTCGAGTTAAAGTGTGCACCATTCTTCCGGTTTAAGGTAGATGTTCAGGAAGCAAATAAATTTTTAGATAGCTCTTCATGTCATGAGTTTTCTATCCCCTGCTGACATAGCACGTGTATCACTGACTTGTCGTGACTGGCGAAACCTCGCCGAGGACAATCAGTTATGGAAAGGGAAATGTGAAGAGTTAGGTGGTGCAATCTTGGATCCGCCGAGGTCTTATCTTAGACTTTCGCTGCTTGCAGCCAATGTATATCAGCTTACTTGAAAAATTATTATATTATTAGTTTATATTTTAGTGATCGACAAAGTGGCGCCTGGGCAGAAACTGCCTGTACAAGTGGCATTGAGGTGGTTGGTTATCGCCCAGTTCTCAACGACTCTCACTGCCAGTCTCATATATATCGTCCATTCACTCATGGGTTGGTTGGTCATCTTGTTTAGATTCATTAGTCTAACTTCGTGTATAAGAATTGCAGTATTTGATGTGCCAGTAACAATTGTTTCCTTTTATCTTCCAAATAGAATTTTGAAATATTACTTTTTTCTTCTGCTCCAACTTCATCACATAAGTCGTTTAAGGCGCGGTGACCTTGAGCTCAGGACAACAAAGACTCTTGAAGGGTCTAGGCAAGTTTTTGTTCTGTGTTTTAATGGATTATTCAAAGCTTCTGTTTAATTATTCTTTATCAGAGTTTGCTATTTATTTTGAAAAGGACTAGAATTGGTTTTGCGTTGGGTTTCTCCTCCGACCTTTGTTCAGAATATATTCGTTATTAAGTGGTGCTTTCCAGGTCGGAGTGGAAAGCTAGGTTTTTACGCCACCAAAGGATTCAAGCAAATTGGCGTTCTCGACCTTTGACAGGGTCTTGTATCTTAAGAGGACATGATGAGCATGTGATTACCTGTTTAAAAATTCACGGGGATCTTATAGTTACCGGTTCTGACGATAATACACTGAAAGTTTGGTCAGCGAGTAAAGCAACTGTAAGTATTTGCACTTTAATTGTTGAGTAGTCTTTCAATACTTCTTTACTAGAAATGCTTTATTACCGTCCTTAAATTGTTTAATCTGCTGTGTTGAGGTTATTTTTGTGGGGTTTGTTATTTTTTATTTGTGCGTTTATTCTACAGAAAAAAAAAAAAAAAAACGTTTTTATTAGAGCATAATTATTTACGATATTTCAGTGTCTGCATACCTTGACAGGACACACCGGAGGTGTATGGTCATCTGAGATGTCGGAATGCGGTTCTTTCATAGTTAGCGGCTCGACAGACCGTACAGTGCGAGTTTGGGATGTTGGTAGTGGAAGATGTCTCTATAATTTGCAAGGCCATACTAGTACCGTACGGTGCATGGCTCTGAAAGAAAATATGTTAGTGGTTATGAAGAATTTTTGTTCTTTCATTTGCGTTCGTTTTATTACATTCGGACTAATTTAAGACCGTCTTTAAACGTTAAACGTAATTAAAGCGCATTTGTTTATTTCTCTCTTGATGCTTTTTCGCTAGTTACACTAATCATTCTTCTATTTTAGACTTGTCTCTGGTTCGCGGGATACAACTATTAGAGTCTGGAACATAAGCACAGGCACTCATTTATGTACTCTTCACGGTCATGTTTCAGCTGTTCGTTGTGTCAAGTTCGATGGTAAACGAATTGTTTCTGGAGCTTACGATTATTGTATTAAAGTATGTAATTCTTCTTTATCATTTCACTTTTTATTTCAAGGAATGCTCTTCAGGCAACGAGATTTTTGTGCCTTAAGATACATTATCTTCAATCCTATTTGCTGAGAGAACTTACACTGTGCTGTACTAACTTTTTTAGGTTTGGGATGTAGAGTTAGGAGCCTGTATACATACTTTGACTGGGCATAACAATCGTGTCTATTCGTTGCGGGTTTGTTTTTTATCTCATTTTCGCTGACTTAATGGTTTTATATCGGTATTTTCAGAGGAAGACATTAGCTTTTTTAGAAATCACTGCGCTAAAACTACGTAAAAGCTTTAGCTTAAAACATCAATCGTGTTTTTTTTACAAAATGCTAGGGATTTCTTTTAGTTTGACAGTGAGCGCGATATAGTTGTTAGTGGTAGTTTGGACACTACTATCAAAGTCTGGAATATTAGAACTGGTGAGTGTATTCAAACATTAGTTGGTCATCAGTCCCTTACTTCCGGTATGGAGCTTCGAGGCAATATCCTTGTTTCCGGAAATGCTGACAGTACAATTAAGGTCAGTATTTTTCGTCATTGTTTGGGTTGTGTTCTGCTAAATGTTGATTAGGAAGTCTTACAATGTGTTTTACCTGATGGTGTTCATAATTTCAAGGTATGGGATATAAGAGACGGTCAATGCATATATACCCTCGCCGGATCTAATGGTCATTCATCTGCAGTAACTAGTCTGCAGTTTTTAGAAAACGGTTTAGTAGCTACAAGCAGCGATGATGGTTCTGTGAAGCTTTGGGA